GCTCCTCAAATGTGAAACGGTGGAAGGGAAAATTCGAGGAAACTATATAGAGGAGATGCCAGGCTCTTTCGGCATTAACCGGGGGTATCTCGCTTCCTCACACCATCGATGTTCCCTGACTTGACAGGATGAAAGCGTCGATTCTCTCTTCTGCCGACGACAGGGTCTTTGCTAGTTGGCCAAGGAGCGCGTCAGAGCGGGAAGGAAGACACCCTTTTTTTGAGAGGAAAAAAGTTGCACAGAGAAGAATTGGGACCCGCCTACTCATATCACGCAGCGGATGGATTGAAGAGGAGGAGAAATTGGAAGAGGGCGAATTTTGCAGACACTGCTAAACACGGGCACCGCCAGCCCATCTGAGGCTGCGCCTTCTACATATTCTTGGCTCCTTCACACGTGAGGATGATGATTCAAATGCTCAGAGTAGACAAGGGAATGTCACCTGCTTAGAGGTCAGTTGTAGTCCTTCGTGATGTCAGTGGAGAGAAGCTCCCACCCGTATACTGCCCTTATTTGGAATGGTTTGCACAGGGCGACGCAGATTGGCTTTCGCAGAGTGTGTCACGGCAGCAACCTATCTGTGCTTCAAATCGACAATGACAAGAATGCTCTCCGATCTACCGACCCTCACGATCTTCGATGCTCACTCTATCCCTTCCATGCGGTAAGGCGCAGGATTTTCAAAAAACCCACGTACAAGACCGCGCAGATCTGCCAGCCTTAGTAGTTGAGTAGATTGTCCGGTTGATTCCATCATCGTGGTCCAGAAGCAAACCTATGGATAGTATGTCAACTAGAAGATGGTAGAGTGCGAGATGCTGGTCTCTATTGACAGTTCGTTCTTCTTATGAAAAGAGATTTCTCTTATGAATCCCCAATGTGATGTATCTTTCAGCATATATAGACGCTAAAAAGAGATTAACCAATTTCTACTTCTAAGTGCGGGTCCCGCACGCCTGCCCGATCAGCCGTTAAGCAGGGATTCGCTAAAGGGTAATTTGTGCTTTTCGTGGTTTGGCGGCAAAGGGTCCAGGCGCGGAGTCTCCGTCTAAGACCAGCAGCAATATCAAACAGATAGGAAAGGAATTCTCTCACTGGAAAAGGGAAGAACATATCGTACTATCTGTTGCTCAGAAATCAAGAGACATACGCAGAGGGATTGCGAGGTCCTCATGGCCGTTAGGCACAGGATCACTCATAGGTTCGAGTAGCGTTATGGCCAAGTATGGTTGAGCTAGATATTGACACTCCTAAGTATTTGTTCACACTTCGTACACTCTATAGACGTGCATATAGATTCACAGCACCAACTTTGTCATTACTGAATATTCATGCTGCGTGTGTGTATTATGTCTGTGTGACCTAACGAGACGGCGAGGGTGGAGCGGTCGTACTCATGCTGTACACTTTCCCTAGAGATAACTGTGTGTTTTTGGTGTGTTGTATTGAGTATCATTGTTGCCATGTATGTGCAAAGTCAGGATGAATAAGGGGTTATTGGGATAATCTCTGTATTCATTCTTTCCTGCTTGTATCCTCTGGCCCTATGTGGAGTTAGTGTGTCAACAGATATAGAGTAGTGCTCGTGAGCTTCCACGACCATAAGGGAACATTAATTTACTTAGTTTGCTTATTATTAGGATTTGTATTCCGACTAAGATCCGCACTCCAAGAGGCAGCAAAGACCAAGGGTTTAAAACTAACAACAACGATTTGGCCCACCTGTAATATCTGTGCAACAGGTAGAGAGCGGAGCCATGAAGAATAGCACAAACATTAACAAACGAGTACATTCCATCAAAGCGCGACCTACCCAACTACTCTGTGCCATCATAACTGTGTCAGTGAGTGTATATGATGATGTAGTGAAATTGGATCGCCAACGCTAACTGTTCATCTAAGCATGTCGATGAATGTGGCCCAAAAAGTTTCCGCACTCCTATGCTTGAGCCCACACGGTACATTACTAAAATTTTTCTTTAAAAAACATGGCTTTAGAAAATTAAACATCTCAGGAAGTGAAGCGGTGGGGGAGATTGCTTCCTTGTCCATATTGCCAGAAGTGAATCTATTTGAAATGTGTGCTTAGGCGTGGTATCTGCATATGCTTCTGATAAGCTTAATTAATTAAATTAAAATGTTTAAGGAATATACATCTTGGTTGCAGGGAGGGCCCAGGAGTCCCTCGCTTTTCCTTCTGGTGCCAGAACGTCTCTTTCTCAGCAATGCGGTCACAAGACACAGGAAGCTGCATTGCACTGATCACATCTAACTTGGTGCCGTGACTGTCCAGGAATTCAGCAAGCGAACATCCCAGCTTTTACCGGAATGGCATTAGGACAGACTAACTGTTCTGCACCCGAGCCACAAACCTGCACCCTAGAACATAAGGCAATAGGGCTTTTGCTTATGGGGTAACGCACAGGGTAGAGTGCCTCTGCTCCTGGAGGAACCAATATTGCCATTGTTATCAGCGGCTGATAAAGACGGTTTCTTTTTACAATAGCAGTGCCTCTGTCTTGTCGTATTATCTGCTAAGTGATTGAAGGATGCTGCCAGGAGAAGAGAGCTAAGTGGGAGGGGGAGTCCGGGTCCTTACCTGGCCTGGCTGGTAGGAGACACAGCAACTCATTTATCCCAGCAGTGCTTCCTGGAGGCGGATGCGAGTCGGAGCCTGACATGCTCCAGATGAAACCACAGGTGCTTGTACCTTATACAGTGGTACCTCGGTTAAGTACTTAATTCGTTCCGGAGTCTGTTCTTAACCTGGAAGCACCACTTTAGCTAATGGGGCCTTCCTGCTGCCACCATGTCCACCTGGAGCTACCGATTTCTGTTCTCATCCTGAAGCAAGAGTTTCTTAACCTTGAAGCACTATTTCTGGGTGAGCGGAGTCTGTAACCTGAACGTATGTAACCCATGTACGCACTGTAGATCTATTTCTCCAGTCGAGCCAAACAGTGCTCATGCATAGCTGTCAACTTTTCCCTTTTCTTGCGAGAATCATTCGAATAAGGAATTTCCCTTGGAAATGTTAATGGCAATGTGCTCATGGCACCCAGGGCCTGTGGGAGGGGGCAGCCTTTTCACCCAGGGGAGTTGAGACCCAGCCCTGCGGGAATGCTACGCCTTAATAAGCCAAGGAAAGAGACAGAACGCCTTGCAGCACTGCTTTCGCCACCCTTTTTTTTGCCCCTCCAACTGCTTCTCACGGCAGCTCCCGCTAACAGAACCCGGTAGGCCTGCCCTCCAACACACCCTTTCCAATATATTATACTGCCCACCCTGCCTCCTCCTCTAGACTAGGCTAAGACTTTTACCTGCAAAAGCTCACTCCAGCTATGGCAAACTCATAAAGAGGACTGTGCCAGATCACATCAAAGACCTTTCAGTCTGGTCTGGCGTTCTGTTCCAAGAGTATCCAGTCAAATGCCTGGGGAAGCCCACAAGAGGAGTTGAGCCCAGTCTGTCTGAGGGTGTTTCCAGATGACTCGTTTACCGAGCATTTAACCTGATCTGTTTGCAGGGAGACTAGACGGCAGTTGGCCATTTAATAAGCCCTCCTGATTTGTTTGTGGGGAGGCGAGGCAACTCTGTCAGAGCAAGCTACCTCACGACACCAGTACGTTGCAAAAAGCCCAATATTTTGGGGAGGGTTTGTTTTTGCACAAGACTGCCTAATGTGCTATAATCGCACAACCTGAATTTGTCAGAATCCTATCCCCAAATAGAGACAATCTGGAAGGGCCCAAAGTTTTATTGGTTGTCATGGTATCATGGGGTGTGGGAGTTGATGGGGGGGTAGTACCTCTGCGGGGGACACACACACACATTGTGCTCCTTCTGGGGTAGTTTGTTCACCTTTGCACTCAGCTCTCACCTGTGGCTCCTGGAAGCTGCCAGAATGCGACAGCAGCCACACCCCGGGAAACAGCTTCAACTAGCCAGCTAAATCAGGTGAGGGCAGCCAATGGGTCTCAAACCCTTGGTGGGTTAGGGACTTCTCTGCATGTGAAGACAGGCTCTGGCAGCCTGAGTGGATGAGAGCAAGAGTAGGCCCAATGGTTGCAGCACTTTCTGCAAGTGCTGTAGAGGAAAAAAGGGGCAGATGGAAAGGTAGCTCATCTAGGAGAAGGAAAACTAATTCTAAACCTCTGCTGCCTTGTGGGATATCTTCACGAGTAAACCCTACACAAATCCAGTGCGGAGACCCCAAGGCAGTTGGAATGGTGCCTTGTACTCCCTTCCTGCAACTCTTGCAGCCAAACTGGTGCCAAATGTCTTGCTCTGCTTTCTTTGCACCACATCAGCGAGGCTGAGAGGGGAGTCTTGTCGTCTGGGCCAGCCCAGGACCTCCAGACACAATGCCTAGACTTGCGTATTGGGAGGTCACCGCTAATGAAGTGGTTTGACTTCACCTCCAGAGGCACACTCCATTGTCTCTCGAGACATACGGATGCCAACAACAACATGCTAACTTGTTTCACATCTCGCTCAGGCAGACGCACAACTGAAAATCCACAGTCGTCTTTTTTTTTTTTAGAAAATAAATTGTTTATTACGAAATTATAACATGGATGTCCCCCACCCAACACCGATTATGCCTTAGCTCCCTAGAATAAAATTGTCCTGGCTATAGAAAGTCCCTTTGTGGTATCAGGAGAGGAGGGCTTTGTCCAGAGGTCAGAGGCCAGATCTCGTCCTCCGCCCTCGCTGCCATCTCCACGCATTTTCCTGGGAGCCCATGCAGGGGTGCTGGTGGTGAGGTCAGAAGCCCTGCCCTGGCTGGGGGGGCTGCAAGTTGAATGAGAGGTAAATCCATGCTGGCAAGACTGGATTGTTAGGGTCCAGGGAGGGAGGGAGTTTGGTACCAAAGGATTCTGGGAGAAAATGAATGCATAGAGTTATTTTGTACAGGAGAAGGGGGAAAGAAAAGAACGGAAAACCAAAAACAGAATAAACACGGCACAGGTAACAGCAAAATGAAGAGAAAACAATGCGAATTACAGAGGGGACCAAAACAAAACCCAACCCAAACCAACCCATAACATTTTTGTTTAAAGGCTGAACAAATGACAAAGTAGCAAAATGGAAAGGGAATCGAGGACGTCTAAAGGAACAGAGTAAGGAATGGCAGACGCTGGAAGTGCAAAGTAGCTGAAGAAGGGAAGAGAAGAATCCGAAATAAAATCAAAGTAATTTAAACATGAAAGATTTGGGGGAGCGGGAAAACCGCGAGAGAATGAAAGACGCACTGAAAGAATAATTGGGGTGGCTAGCCTGTGGCCCTGCAGATGTTGCACAATCACAGCTCCCCCCATCATCCCTGACTGCCGGCCATGCCGGGTGGGACTGATGTGACTCAGAAATATCTGGAAGGCCACAGACCAGCCGCCCCGGCCTACAGGGAGGCGACGCAAACAAGGACAGGAGATGTCTAGAAGACAAGCTGAAACCGAGAGCAAACCAAAAGGGAGAAAGCAACAAGCAACACGACAGGGACAGAGAGGACTGGAGGGCCGCGCTGTTCTGTGGATGTGACCCCTTCCCGGTTCAAAATCCCTCAGGTTGGAGGTGGCCCTTCTGGGGGTGCCGTAGAGCTCAGCCAGTGTTCGGAAGAGTGGCCCCCATTCTTCCAGGTACTCGTACCCTCCGGCGTCGCTGTCGCCAGCGCAAGAGGACCCCGGGGAGCTGAGGGAGCCGGCCGAGGAGCCCTGTCCCTCATAGCCGTACACCTGGATGGAGTCGTAGGGGGGGACGGAGGGGTCGGCGTCCACTTCGCTCAGGCGGGCCGCCAGGAAGCTGGCCACGTCGTGGGGCTGCGGGGGCAGGCGGGTCGGCAAGGAGGGCGGGAAGTGCAGGCGGGGGAGCACGTCCCGCCGGAAGAGGCGGCGCTGCTGAGGCGGTGGAGGGGCAGCGTCGGGGTTCTGCAGGGCGGCCATGTCAAAGGCTTCCGTGTCCTCTTCGCCCCCGCCCTCGTCGTCGTAGGTGATGATGTTCTCGCGGACGTCCTCTTCTTCGAAAGGCAGCAGCGCCGCCTGCTTCTGCCCTCCGGAGGGCGACAAACAGCAGCACCAGGGCTGGAGGCAGGGAGGCGGGTGGCAGGTGCAGGCAGAAAGAAGCAGGGGAAGAAGAAGAAGAAGAGTTTGGATTTGATATCCCGCTTTATCACTACCCAAAGGAGTCTCAAAGCGGCTAACAATCTCCTTTCCCTTCCTCCCCCACAACAAACGCTCTGTGAGGTGAGTGGGGCTGAGAGACTTCAGAGAAGTGTGACTAGCCCAAGGTCACCCAACAGCTGCATGTGGAGGAGCGGAGATGCAAACCCAGTTCCCCAGATTACAAGTCTATCGCTCTTAACCACTACACCACACTGGCTCTCTGGGGAGAAGGACAGGTGTTAGCAAGGCACAGCAAACAGCAGGGCTTTCACCACCACACCACACCCCCCCATACGCCTTGTTGGACACTTCTTGTGGAATCAGAAGGACATAACACAATAAGTAGGCCTTCCCAGGCCAGGCCAATGGCCCATTGAGTCCAACATCTTGTTCTTACAGCGGCCAGAAACCCACAAGGTGGCAACAGAGCAGTTCTCCACTCCATCTTCAGTGGAGGTTAGAAAAGGCTCATTCTCAAAAGTCCACCCTCCATAATTTAAAACAACACAACAAGATGGAAGAAGTAAAAAAATATTGAGATCACACATGGGTGAAGGGGAGTGGGGGGTATAGGGGAACTTATAAAAAATTCTAATATACTATTTCTAATTGTGCTGCATTTATATACAGCAAAGGGAAGTCTATAGCAATAGGTATATTTTAATTTAGTCAGCTATGTAATAGGCTTATGTTACAAAACGAATATGGATTGTGAATTTGATGTTTGTAATTCTTTTTCGGTTTTGGAATAAAGTTTAAAAAAAGAAGTCCACCCTCCATGTTTCTAGAGGTCCTCTGCTCAGTTTTGACACCCATCCTTGGCACCCGGCCTCTGCTCTCAGATCTTTTCGGTGACTTTTTCTGAGCTCGTGATCTGCAAGGCCCACATTCTTGGAATACCATAAGAGTGGCTCACTCTACTGCTTTGCTCTTGACCCCAGGATTCTGTCTCAACCCCTGGCACTGTTAACAGAAGCCCACGTTCACATTTCAAGCTGTTGGTTTTTTTTTGTTGTTGTTGTCCAAGATCCATCCTTAGATAAACATTGGAGATTTAGATAAACAGCCTCTTCCTAGTTTTGAAACTCCATCTCCAGGAATCATTGATTCCACTCATTCTGAAAATCTACCCCTGCCCTGTCTGGGTTTTCAGTGGGGATGGGCAAATCGATCAATTGCAGTTACTCATTTTTTTAAAAACGCTCTTAAATTCACTTCTCAACATTTCTGCAGTAAATTGCAATTTTAAAAAATCCTTGCGAAAATTTGTTCTAGCGCAGATTTCCCATAATTACGTTCTTGCACGCAGTTTTAGCTAAGATGCAAAATTTCGCAAGCAATTTCCCCTCAACACAATGCATTTCTGTACGTAATTTGCAGTAACATTTTTTCGCACACTTCCCCCTGACATAAACGTGTTTGCACCAGTTGTTTGTTTGGTGAACTGCGTCACAAAATTCTGAAAAGCGTGAACTCTGAAGTTTAGCTATGTTTCAGTTTGCCTATTGGTGCCGAAGTGTGAATTGCCGATCTTCTCACTGGAGTGCGGAAGGAGCCGAATTCCTCCCCCCTCCCCAGTTCGCAGCCCCCATTTCTGCTGCCTGAGTGCAGCCCTTGTTCTTTCTCACCAAGCAGAGTGCCCACGCAGGCGAGGATGGCAAGAAGGGCACCCGTGCTGAGGCCTGCCGGGGAGCCCAGGGCCTCGGCCCCGCAGGAGTGCATGGCCCCATCGCGCCGACACCGGCAGATGCTGACGGTCAGGGTGGGGGAGCCTGTGCGGGTGGGGGAGCCCCCGTCCACCAGTTCCAGCGGCACCAGCAGGGACCCGCCTTGGGTGGGCAGGCGGGCGGCACGAAGTAGCAAGGAGGCAGAGTTATCTGGAGGGAGAAGATGAAAGGCGATTAGGGGAACAAACTTATAGACCGCAGCATAAAGCGGTGTAAGACTCAGAGAGAGAGAGAGAGAGAGAGAGAGAGAGAGAGCGCTCTGAAAATCATAATACTGTATCAACAAAGCCTTCAAAACAGTAAGGCCACCCTACAAACATCAGAAACAAAGCAATTTTCTCAGCTATAAAATTGATATTCCATAAATGATTGGGGTACCCCTTGGGGAAAGCGCTCCTAAACAAAAATGGATTCAGTAGGCACCTAAGCATCCTGGCACTAGGCGATGGTCTTATTTCAGCTGGTAATTGATCCCAGAGAGCTGGAGCTGCAACACTAAAAGCCTAGTTTGTACAACAGGCTAAGCACACAACTCTCTGCAACTCCCCTCTGAGAAGCGCAGTTGCTAGGCAGTGGGGTCCCTCAGATATACAGTGGTACCTCGGGTTACATACGCTTCAGGTTACATACGCTTCAGGTTACAGACTCCGCTAACACAGAAATAGTACCTCGGGTTAAGAACTTTGCTTCAGGATGAGATCAGAAATCGTGCAGCAGCAGTGCGCGCAGCAGCAGGAGGCCCCATTAGCTAAAGTGGTGCTTCAGGTTAAGAACAGTTTCAGGTTAAGTACGGACCTCCGGAATGAATGAAGTACTTAACCCGAGGTACCACTGTACTGGTCTCAAGTTAGAACCACAGAATGTAGAGTTGAAGGGACCCCAGGGGTCATGTAGTCCAACCCCTGCAGGGAAGGAACTGCAGTCAAGTTGCTTAGGGCTTTAAATGCCGAAAGGCAAATCTTGAACTGCGCCCGTGTTGGCAGCCTGTGCGGCAGAGGTGTCGATGGGATGCCCTGGGTCAACCTAGTTGCTGTATCCTGCGCCAGCTGCCCCTTCAGGGAAAGCCCCACATAGAGACCACGTTGTGGAAATCCAGGCTTGAGGTTCTCAGCGCCAAAGTCACGGCAGCCAAGCTATGTCAGTCGAGGAGCAGCTGCAACCAAATGTGGTCAAAGGCACTCCTAGACTTTGGCTAATGAAACAATCTATGGTCTTTGAAGCCGTGTGTCAAGGTTATCATTTCCCTTTGTTGTTATGGTATGTTTTTTGTGTGTTTTCATATTGCAGACTGCCCTGTGGTCCTCGGACGAAGGGTGGTACAGAAATTTAATTAGCGACAAACAACAACCGTAACAGCTACTGGTGCCATCTGTGCCTTGAGTGACAAAGATGGATCCAGCGCAAGCCCCAGGCTATGTACCTGTTCCTTCCTTTACTGTCCGCAACAGGTAACTGAACTACGCCCTGGACGTGGGCAGCACTCGCACACAGGGCCTCTGTCTTTCCAGGGTTTAAGCTCCGTTTGTTGGCACTCATCCAGCCCTCCACTGTGGCCAGATGGTGGTTCAGAGCCTGCCTGGCCATTCTCAATTCAGAGGCTACATACTGTAGGTACCAATCGCCTGAGGAGCATTCCTAAGGGTTTCATATGCTAAGTAGCATTAGGGGGAAAGGGTGCCCCACAGCACCCCAAAACATAGATGCCAAGGCTGAGGAACATTTTCTCCAATGCTACTCTCCGGAGATGATCCTGCAGGGGGAGACTGGAACCATTGTAAAGCAGTGCCCCTAACACCCATCCCACAGAGAGGACGCCACGGTTGATGGTGTGTCAAAAGCCACAGAGAGATCAAGAAAAGAAGCAAGGTTGCAGTCCCTTTTCCCTCTCCTGGAAGAGCTCAAGGCCAATTCAGACCTGAAACCATTCTGAAATGAGTCGAGATCTGTGGTTCCCAAACCACCACCCCGCTCCTTGGTTCCATAAACTCATGCCCAATGTCCCCTGCCCTACAAAAAGCACCATTCAGAATAGCAGTCGGCACGACCCACTAAGGAAGATAATAACACAATAAAATTAAACAGTAACGATTCATTGCACATGTATTCAAAATCCAATTAAAACTATTTAGTTTAATTAATTCAGCAAAGTTGATGAACTAGATCCAGGGATACCAGCATTTCAAGGTCTGAATTGTCATTTACACCTCCAGCTGCCACCACCACCACCAACCAGCCCCCCAGCCCTTGCCTCTTAGCGCACCCCCCTCCCTAGGTTATCCCACTACCTCCCAGGCCACTGGACTAGATGACCAGCTTTATCTGAGATTGCCTGCCAACCGCCTGGGACGTTTGAAAAGCCACACCTGAGAGCAACCCTCACCCTTGTTGTCTCGCACAGTGACGTTCGGGTCCCTGGCCCCAAGCGGGGAGCGGATTATGATGCGGCTCACGTTCCCATCCTCGTCTCGATCCACCGCTCGGATCAGCTGCACCAACTAGCGGGAGAAGGGGAAAGGAAAGGGGTGACGGAGCCAAGCTGCGACCCAAAGCTGTCAACTTTCCCCTTTTTTAAAGGGAAATTCCCTTATTCCAAATAGGATTCCTTGCAAGAAAAGGGAAAAGTTGACAGCTATGCTGCAACCTCCTCGCCTGGCTCCATCTATCCCCCCTCCCAGTTTTATTTATTTATTAACATTCTTACATTACATTGGTAAACATTGTCATATTACATTACAGAGCTTATTATAATATATTTCCCAACATGCATACCGAGATTATATACAAATCTTATATATCTGAAAAAAGAAAAGAAAAACAAAGGGAAAAAACAAAGACAATCCCCCCCCCAGATCATATACCTACCAACACATTGGACTACATGTCTATCCCGTTGTATATTCCTTTTTTTAAATGAATGTACTCATATTACTGTATATTTCTTTTAAATTTTATCTAGTACATTCCTATAACAATATGTGCCGCCTAGCTCCACCCCAATAGCCAAACCGGTGGGCGTTATTACCCGTAGCATGTCCCAGGTAGCACTTACGTGGCCGGGGGCTGCATTGTCACAGACAAACGGCTCATAGCTGTGCTCCAGCTGGGGCGGGTTGTCGTTGACATCCAGAATCTGGATGGCCACTTGGACGTGGGAGGCCTGTGTGGGGCTGTCTGGGGGCAAGAGCGGGGGGATGGGGAGAAGCACACAGCCCACACACAGCGTGAGGCGGCCGAGGAAAAGCCACGTGGGACGTGCCGGGAATGGAATGCAGGCAACACGGAGGGGCACGCAACGGGCAATTCACCAGGATCCCCCAAATTAAAAAATGTTAAAGTTGCAAAAGGGGGAAAGCCGTACAGATCAGCCGCCCCAGGCCAGGGCAGTTCCATGTGACAAGTGTGCATATGAAGCCATAGGATCAGGCGCAGTCCACATCAGACAGATTACAGCAGGCAAAGAGGGGGCATAGGAGCGCATGCCAGGCGGACCATAAGGTGGGGTAGTTAGGAGGTTGCGCAAAAATGAACACAAGGCAGGTACACAGAAATTGGCACCCATGCGAATGCAGCATTTTAGAGCACACACACACAGCCCCATAAGATCCAAGGAGAGGGAGGGGCCAGCGCATGGTGTGCCGCGTTTACACAGGGGTAAGGAGATGCATGCAATCAAGCAGCAACATTGCGCCCAGCGTATACAACCATGCAAAAACGAGGGAGCCACAGTGAGGCGTGCAGGCCACAGAATTGGCACGCAGAGAAGTGCGCCGCCGCCACGCCAGACGTGCGCGGTGATCACGACAAGCAAGGAGCCACACGGGACAAAGATGGCAGAAAGGAGCAAAGTGCGTGAGGCAGGTGGCGCAAAGGAGGAAGTGCATCCCAAGCAGGCAGCCGCGGCAGCCGCATGCAAAACGATGCACGGAGAGAGAAAGAAAGCAAGAGAGACAATGAGTAAATATTTGCCCATTGGGAAATAGGCGTATATACTGCACACTGCAGAATAAAAGCATTTGTTGCGAAATGAATACCCCAAACCCTGCCACCGCATCCCAGAGCCACCCACCTGGCCCTCCCCAAACCCACCTGTCCCTTACCAAGTTCCGTTGCCACCACGGTCATGTTGTGCCAGGGCAAGAGCTCCCGGTCGAGAGGCACAGAGGTCAGGATGGTCCCGTCCTGAGGGTTGATGCTGAAATAGCGCTCGGGGTCCGTGTGCGGCAGGATGGAGTATCTAGAAGATGGGGGGGAACCTGGGGCATCAGGTTGTCGTGGCAACCAGGTACAAACGGAGCAACTGTAACTTTCACACACAAGGCAGACAGATGCTAATCCGCACAGTCCCCACCCCACCCCTGCTCCTGCGCCCCCCCCGCTTGCCGTTACCGGATGGCGCTGCTGGGGGAGTCGAGGTCCACGGCTGTCACCTTGCCCAGCAGGGTCCCCGGGGGGCTGTTCTCGTAGACGGCGAGGTGGTAGTCGGAGCGGGAGAAGGCCGGGGGCTCGTCGGCGTCCTCCACCGTGATGCGGACGGTGGCCATGTCCTTGAAGGGGCCTTTGCGGATGTACTGGGGGTCAATGAGCGTGTTGGTGGCTTCCACGCGGAAGGTGTACGAGTGGCGCGATTCGAAGTCGAGGGGCTGCGGGAGGATATGGGCAAGTTAGAGGGGGAACCGGAGGGAAAGAGGAGAGGGAGCT